AAAATGATATTTTCAAAACTAGTTCTACATCAGAAACCATAGCAAAAGTTGTAAAACAAATAAGCATCATGATATTGGTGACTGGGAGCTGGGTACTTCACAGACAACTTAGCTATATACCAACACTATAGTTGAAAGATGGTAACAAAAATCTTGGAAACAGAATGTATAAAACATACTAAATGCTTTATTCTTCTTTAAATATTAAAAATCTCAAATCTATCTAAGAGAAGATATTATAGAATATTCACCATGGCATGAAATTACAGATAAAGTTTTAAAACATAATTTTAATGTTGCTTATCAATTAGTTGTAGTGATCAATTATATCTAGGTATTAACACAATTAGTTTTGAGAAAAATCTAATTTTATTTTCTTCATAAATTATTTGAAGAACTTAATTTTCAATAATACATTACAATTTTAGCACTTATAAAATGTGTCATCATATGCTTGACACTTGTAATACCTTGGCCTTCTATGAGAAACCAGGAAAATCAAACAATGAATGTTCATTTGAAAGAGTCAAATGAACATTTATTTTGCAAATATGCTGTAGGATTTATGAATGCAATGAAAAGTAAATATTCTCATATCATAAGATAAGACTCAAATTTTGGCTTTTTTGAAAGTTTACAATTCAAACCCCATTTAAACACTGGTTTTATGGTATAGTATATCACAATTGACACAGTATGAGTAAAAAAAGAACTCATGTGAACCACAAAAGAGAACATCGGATCTGAACTGCAGTAACATTTCTGTGCCTGCTTTTGCACGAATAGTGCAAGTTAGAAAACAAAATTTGATTATTTGCCACTGTGACAGTGAATAACATGACAATTTTTGAAAACCTAAAACACACAAATTGATTGATTTCATTTCCTTACAGACCCATTGCTGTGCATATGCTAAGGCATATTAAATTGACCGCAGGTTGGTGCCTTACTGGAAAGATACACTGCAACTTTGCAAAAGGATATGAATGATAGGAAGCAAAAGAAACTTTAGAGACGGAGGCTGAGAGGATTCCATGCAATCTGTTGCTATTATCCTTTCTACCTATATCAGTAGGTTTCTTTCTCGTTTCCACCCCAACTTTGCCCACACCAAATTCTCCATGTCCTTCTTCACATATTCCTCTTCCAACATGCTCCCTGCCCATTCACATATTTAAGTCAAGAAAATGACATAGTCAAGATAGTTAGAAAAATGCTCTGGAAGCACATGGCCAAAAAGAAAGACAACCTTCCTGCCCTCATGGGGCTTACATTCTATTAGGAACAGTTGACATTAGATTTATAATCTCATATAAATATGTAATTACAATTATGATGATGGCTATGAAGAAAAAAATCCGGCCTCCAATCAAAACATCAACACTTATCTGGCAACTACTGACCTGAGCTCTTGAGCTATTAACTAGCCATGCTGGCTGGATCTGCAGTGCGAGTTACTTTAACATGTTCTCATATAAATATTCACTCATTACTTTCATACAACCATTGAAATATAATTAAATAGTAAAATATAATTTAATCGTTGTTGGAATGAAATGACCAGTTAAACATACATGGAAAAACAAAACAAAAAAGTAAATTCCCAGGTAAATAGATAAACCTATATGTAAAATAAAATGGAGAATGAAGTTATTAGCATTATCAATGGCCCCAACAATACCAATGACAAATTACAGATCTAAAAAGAAAGCAACCACAATTTCACAATGATTTGGATCCATCTAGTCACAAGCAGGCTTCTTCTAGAGAAATCTCTTCAGCTATACCTAAAAAAGCTATAAATCACTGAAAGAGTGTTTATTCCTAACTGTATCTAGTTAAAGGTGACATATTCTTGCTTATAAAACATGAAACCTATCCAAATAACTGAATCCAGAGTTTGAAACAGAATGACCAATTAAAAATATGAGGCACGGCTTTGCCAGTTTGGCTCAGTGGATAGAGCCTCGGCCTGCTGACCAAAGGGTCATGGGTCAAGGTTGCCTACCTTGGTTGCAGGCTCCTCCCTGGGCCCTGGCCCTAGTTAGGGCTCATCCAGGAGGCAACCAATCCATGTGTTTCTTTCACATCAATGTTTCTCTCTGTCTTTCCCTTTCTCTTCCACTCCCCCTAAAAATCAATGGAAAAATATCCTTGGGTGAGGATTAACAAAAAATAAATAAAAATATGAGACACAATGTCCTATGGGAAAAAAGAGAAAGCTTCCATTTCATTCATTTTGATTCTGTGAGCACATAACAGTGTCTCTAGTTGACTTAGCTGTTTTTGTGATGTATAAATGGTAAGGGATTTTTTAGTTTCCAAACCCTAAAAAATGAATTAGGGAGTATGGAAGGATCCACACCAACTCTGTAAGGATACAGCACAATGATCCCAGTGCTTACCTCTACAGAGAGGACTGGGGAGGAAGATGAAGAAGGTTATCACAAGGAAATGTTCTCTTTAGATGAGTTACTTTATTTCCTTTTGTTTTTTTTAATGAAATGTATTCATTTATCACTGGGCATTTAACTTTTTAGAAAATATTTAAGAATCCATACAGAAGAAATAATAATAATAATAATAATAATAATGCTCCTGAATCCAATTTTGCTTCTGGATTAACGAAAAAAATAAAAAGGCATTAATCCAGAGAGAATCATTACAGAGACCCTGAAATCACTTCTCCTAAGAGACAAGTAGTATCAAGAAAAATTCTCCAAGATTATATTGTGACAGAAATATTTGGAGGCATGAATTTACAATTCATATCTATTATTTTAGACTGGGCATTTTATGTACAACTAGGATCTAACCTATAGAGGAAGTTAAAATGTAAAGTTACTAGACAATTTGCGACTTCTCCAACAGGCAAGGACATCAACCTATGAGCAACCCCGACTCATGTTCTGTTTTTAACTGCCTTTTCCCACCCGCACAGCACTTCCATTCTGTCATGTGACTCCCTTGCTCATGTTTTCATTTCCCTACTATAAATGACACTCCTTGGGTGTGGATGCATGGCATCGTCAAGATTGGATTTCTGATCTAGAATACAGATTTGTTGAATTAACTTGCAATTAAAGAAAACTTACAAATCACATTTCTCATTTCTAGACACCGAATTAAACAACATGCAAAGGGACCAGTCTTATTTGCAAAATACTCCATTCCATCTTCTTTCTCCCATTTAATATCGAAAAGCATCCTGGTCCCATTCACAGAAGCATGTAAAGGAAAAAACAAAGTCCTGGCCTCTGTAGTTTTGTGCAGATTGATGAAGACAACTTGATGAAAACTTTAGCAAAAAATATGCTTGACACACATAACAGAAAACAGTTAGGTCTGGCATAGGAACACGGGATGAAGTGACACTTAACATTAATTACACCAAAACAAATACCAGCTTAATAGAAACATGAATTATTCCTTATGTAGTGTTAATAGATTATATAATTAGAGAATTATTTTTAAAGGTTACTTTTTCACATCATAATGAATACATGTGTGCATATTTAGAAAGTCTGTCTACGTATATGTATTCATACCAATATATACAGGAACATATACACAAACACACATAGATATACTTCACTCAGCCAGTAAAATAAAATATAAATACAGTTCACTCTATGCCATTCTGAATCTTACACTAAGGAATAGGTGGGGAATGCCCACTTGAGAAAGAAAAGTGGGTGGCAATTTGTCCTCAACAACAAGTTTAAAAAGCACCCCAGATGGTACACAAAATACCAACGGCATACGAAAAGAATCAATACGTACTGTCATTTGCATGTTGCTGGAAGGTTAAAATGAGATTCAATTATATTATTAAAAAACCGGTTGACCAAAACACAAACTGCAATAAGCATATGTTGTTTTTTATAAACTCAAAGTATCCAAACAACATTTGTTTCTAAAGCTCTACTTTACACATTTAAAACATCGATACCATTTCCTCCTTATTGCTCAGCTCATGTTCAGGTGCTTGTTTAAGCAGAAAAGTGTCCCTGCTAGATGACACAAACGTGAAGCTGCAGAACTTGAGGGCTTTGGTCCCAATTCACCGGATTAGGATTCAGAGCATAAGAAAGATACAGAGAATTCAAGGATAAGATACATTCCTGTGTTTAAAATAACCAGGGGAAAAACACACAAATGCAAACAAACAAAATAAAACAAAATTTAAAAAAAACCCCACAAAACTGGAGACCAAGATGGAATTCACTGATACATTGTTTAAAATGTTTAGTTTAAAGGTGATGATACATATTTGTCACAGCTGACAACCATGTACCTCCTTTCAGTGAAAACACTCAACACAATATGGATGGTTCTAAATGGTGAGTTATACATGCTTTTCAATTTGGCACCAATGCTGTCAAAGAGTACACATGCCTGACTTACCAAGTGATGCAGGGATGGGAGCCTGGTTGGTAACGTTCTTAAACAGAGTTAGTATGCACAGAAAAAGAACAGGCTTATCTTGCTCCTTTGTTTCTCTCTTTCAGAGTACTGCTTTTTTCCAGGATATCATGAAGTTAATGTGCACATATGACCTCTAGCAGACAGCATGGTGATGAGCAGGACCATTTCAATGCTGCGCATGCTTAGACTTACATCCCAAGGCAGAATGGCAGGGGTAGGTGGGCTCCAGAGTTAAAAGTTTGAGGATGATATATTTATGGTGACTACACACAGCATTTAATTGCCATTGAATGACACTGCAAAAACTGACACCGAAACCTGTAGCTAATTTTTAAATACACTAATTATATAAGCAGCTGACAAAAAAAAATCACACTAAAGAGCAAGAGAAACAAAGAGTGAAACATTTTGGTGGATTTTCTCTTACCTTAAGTTCATAAAATATTCATTAACACTCATACCTACCTCCCAGTGCCCATTACTAATACCAAAAGGTGCAAATACATTTGCATAACTTAGACACACTGTAATTCATACAGGTGATATTAAGTAGAAATAAAAGAGTGTAATACCTTTACTTTTACCTATTGATTTGATGAAATGGTTCCATGAAGAAAGGGTTTCCATACAAAGAGAATAAAGAGGAGAGAAACAACAATAAGAATTATGAATATATGCAAATGCACTACTCTTTGAAAATTAATCAAGAAAGCATAAGTAAAGGTTTAAAAACAAATGGAAATACAATCACTATACGTTGACAATCCTGCCTTTTTTTTAAAAGGCAGTACATGCAAGGAAATTGGAAAGCCCATGCTCACTTTAAAATATTACACAAAGAGGAGATACATAACGACTGCAGGTAAAAGAAGTATTGATTCTGTGGAGCGCTAGACTCAGCATTCTAGAAGCCAGAAGCCAAAGATGTCTGCATGTTCCCAAACTGCCATGCATTGGGTGAAAAATGGACTCCTTTTGGTACACGAGGTTAAACTGAATATCCTCTTTCAAATATTAATTTGTGACGGTTCTTGGTTTTTCTTTACTATAACTACCCTTAAAATTGCATATGCTGATAAACGTATGGAAACTTTCAATCACAAGTCCTTATGTCTCATTTATTTTCAGATATTACAGTGCAAAGAATGAACAAAAACAAAAACAAAAAGTCAAAGGAGCAAACCACAAATCAAACCAACATACAAAGAGAATAACACATGAAAAAAAATGTGAACAAAAGTATGTATTTAATTCGCAGCCAGATAATTTGCAAGCATTTGCCCATCCTTTGCAGTGATGGTGTGAAAGCAGCTACGAAACAAGGAAACACTGGAAGCAGAGTGGAAAAGGAACAGAGCCCATACCTTGGTCGCCCATCATCAGGTGCGCCAGACCTTGAAGGGAAACAAGAGCACAGTCAGCAATAAACAAGGGAGCATGGGAAGGCGGGGTTGTCACAGTGACAAAAATGTTCAGTGACAGACATCTTGTTTCCTATGAGACATGTCTGTATCACAGAAGCAAATCAAAAAGCATTCTTTCAACCCCTGGTAGGAATGCTTTGGGGCAAAGAGTTACAGAACTGTAGTTTAAACACTGGCATATGCTGCACTGTGTATTTCTTCTATGTATCAGTTGGAACAATGAAGAGCATAAGAGCATGACTTAAAATCCAACCAATCCCTTACGTATTGCATCTGCCCTTCACGCCCCGAGATGAGACTGTTTTGAACACAGCCTCCACAGGGCTTGCCAGTCTTCGGTGATGCAATTATATTTGTAAAAACCCAAAGGAATACCTGAAATATGGGCTGGGTCTGATCTTTTTCCCCTCATCAGAAAATGAGAAGTTTCATAATTAAATGAAAAGAAAAAAATCTTAGTCACACTGAAATGATAATGCAGAAATGTCTCCTTGTCTGACACATGTGGCAACTAACTAAGGTTGTTCATATACAAGATCATTAGACATGCAATTGCAAAGTTAGAATTTACTATTAAGAAACAACGCATCAGGTTTAAATAGGCTCAATTAGCTTTCCATGGAGAACAAAATTATTTATCATTTTACTTAAACATAACTTAAATACTAAACTATGAGTTAATGTAAGTGATATACAAATACATATAAGAAACAATTTCATTAAGGATGTTTTCTGAAAGAGTACTGAATTCCCTTCATTTAAATTATTTTTTATCTATTACTTGACAATTAACTTCAGAGTGAAGATCTTCTTTTCTAAAGAATATTACTAATATTCTTTTAAAAATATATTTTACTACCCAAGTAGACACTTTTTAAGGAATGGCATAATTCCTAGTTTTTATTCTAAATTCAGGAGTAAAGCTACTCTTCAATCCATGTATATTAAAAAACACGGGGAAATGTTACAACATTATAGTATGCATACAATTTCTATAACATTTATATTCCCTTTCCTTGTGTTATTTTAAATATATTTGAGACTTTACTTGAGATACATAACATTATGCATTACTTGCATCATTATTAAAATAATCTGTTATTTCCTTAAAATTTTGTGGATATTAAAAATTCCTTCGGGCATACACAATTAAAATCATCATATAATTACATGAAAATTATTAAACATAGTTTAAGGTTTCTGTAATCCAGCCTCATTTTGCATTTTCTAAGTGATTTTAACAAGAAAATATAATCACAAAGACAGATTAAAAAGTTTATGATCAGTTAGTGATTCATGATTATTTCATATGCCTAGAAATAGTGGCCTATCTGTCCAAGTGATGTAATTGTTTCATTTAATTTCACTTTTAAAACTACTCTACATATTTACTAATAACAGCTTATAACATTGGGTAGACTAAATCAGGGAATTATCCCTGTATCAGATGTAACTTTTACAAAATATATTAGACAGCTCTAATGGTTTTTAATACGACCCTAGTAAGGATGAAAATAAATAGATTTCTAAAGCATTCACATTCTTCATGCTAGATTTCGTACTTCTAAGGGAACTCCACTATATTGCCGAAGTTAATTTATAAATAGGTAGGTTAAAATTATGATTAAGTAAACTTATTACAATAGTTATGGACCTACATTCTGAAAATTTTGTCAAAAATGTTCATGGGATGATTGTGTGTGAAGAGAGAGGCATTCACGCTTATTCAGCTGGTTTTAAAGCCCATTGGAATGCAATTGGATTTAGGGAAAAAAGAATGAAAACATGAAACTGTACAGGATGATTAAGGAAATGCAAAAGAAGTTTAAAAAGATACTGAGAAAAACTTTCCATCTTAATTAACATGCACAATATAAATGAGACTGATTTTGAAAAATATCAGGCCTATCAAATGCATGCTCACATGCTATTACAATTATAGTATAGAAAAACGGAAGCCTTATACAGAGCCAGCACTTGGGAAAATAATCATTGAGGATTTCTTTTGAAGTTTTAATCTCTTAAACAATAAAATAGACATGTTCAGCAACCAAGCAAATGTACTTTACATGAATGAATCACAAACAATATGCTGTAACTTGCTACTGATCAACTTCATATTACCATGAATTGTTCTTGATTTGAAACATCAAATCTTAGTAACTTTATAATTTATCTATAACATTTGATGAGGACTTTTGTTCTAAAACAAATGTTTATTATTTTTACAGAATGATTTTATTTTGAAATATTGCAGCAAAATGAAATATGCTAAATGTTTGCCTCTGAAGTGTAGATATTGGTAAATTATTTATGCAAAAACTTTTAATACTATAATTATGTAATTTGATAGAATACCATCTTTCCTTCTGGAATTCTAAGCTCTACCTAGTTCTTTTTGAATTTTTATAATGAAGAGATTTGTTTGACAGCACTCTGACAAACGCATTTAAGTTCTTTGAAAGTAGAATGCTGAAATATGCTGAATTTATTGGATTCAATAGAAAAATACATATACCTTTGTCAAAATTTCTTGAGAGATAATGTTTTAAAAACTTGAATAAATATTGTAGTTTTACTTAACAGACACAGAATATTACAAACATACTTACCATTAATCATGGTGGAGTGCTGTATGCTCTCATTTCCATTGGCCAAAGGCTTATTTTTTAATCTAAATATATGGCTCTTACTTATAGTCAGTACTTTTTCTGTGTTTTTATTAATCATTTCATTTAAAACTAAACCAATGGGTTTGAGATGATGTGATGCTAAACAATTCCAAAAGAAAAAAAATCATTTTGATCAAGAAAAAAATGGAGAAAGGATCATGCACTATGTTCTGAAACTGCAAATAAATACTTTCTCATTTAATATTTTTAAAAAATGGATTGCATTATTTTTCCATACAGAACACTGCAATTACGTATTCTAATATGGGCTGCTGAAATCCATCAAGGATTGGCATCAAGGGTGAAGGTGTTTCATATATGCGGGGTGCCTGGGGTACAGAGCATGAGTGTTCTATATGAAAAGTGATGCACAATCCACAAATCAACAAATGCTCAAAAAGGTGTTCAACTTACCGTCTAAATTCGAGATGTACTCTGTTAATGCTAAGAAATAAAAGGCAAATGAGAGTTGAAAAAAGAGTAAAAAGCACCCACCTTCCACATTGTTGTCTTCTGAAAGCACATGACAAGGAGGGAGAAAAAAAGGAAAAACATTCATTAAGCAGCATGCAGACTGGACCTTGCCTTTGCATGTCTTCCTCATGCAAGGCACCAACACAACATGCAGTGCTCCATGGCTACCGTCCAAAGGGGAAAACAAAACCATGGGAAGCAGGTTCTCTCCCACTGGCAGCATTTAAAAAATATGACCAAATTTCAGAATACTGGTATTTCCTGAACAAGGAGTTTTAAAGTCTTTCACTGCCTTGTGTAAAGCAAACATTCTTACATGTTGCTGGCACGGTTTTTCTAGGCAATAACTTTTAAAGCTTTTTTTATACCATTCTTAAAGATTCTATTTCTAAATTCTGATTTAGACTTTGATGAAAGAAAAATAAACATGAAGTCTCATTTAAAGATATTCCAGTTCTACTAAATATGTAATCAATTTTCTATCATGGCCTTTAAGTATTTCTAATACTTCACTTTTTTTCCTTAAAGAAACACAACATAAATACGCAACTAAAGACTACAATTTATTTGACTTATTTTTCGTGTTCATATTTTATTGCAAATGATGATAGTTTCTTGTAACTATGAAAATGCTAACTTTTAAATGTTAAGTGGAAAAAGTAACCATTGCAAGAGAAGTCCATTTGGCAATGTCCATTAGGCAAAGTTTATCAAGATTTATGTACTTTGTATTTCTGTTTAGGGTGTGAATGTGAACAGAGTTAAGATAAAGATAATATTTGATAAACTTTTCCTTATGTTTTCATACATCTATATAATATTTACATATTTTATATATTTACTTAAATAAATTTCCACATATGGATAATCAAATTTGTATATGTATTTCTACAATTAATCAATACAAGTGAATAGGATTTACACTATTATTAGTATGCACTAGAGAATTTACCAACTCTTTGAGACACAGGCCTTGGTATCCAGGGAGGAAATGTAAAGGAAAACTGTTTTATGGGACTAGGGAGAGAAAAAGGTTTCAATAGCAATCAAAATTTCTCCAATAATAAAGTATATCCATGTTGAAATTCCTAGTCTCATTCTTAATTTTCATTTAATTAGCTATACTTTTTTTAAAGTGCTCATTTGATCAAAAGTGTTTTGGTAAACAAAACAATAGCAAGTGTAAAAATGAGAGAATACAACTAAAAATGAATCATTTCATAAGTTTCAACAAATAACATTTTAATGGTTAAAGTTATTAATGATTTAAAAATTATCAATTTTGTTTAAACTGTATTAGCTGGAAACTGAAATGTCAACAGAGGCACATTTACTCATATGGTCTTAATATATAGTAGAAATAGCTAGTGGAGAAATGTGGACAATAACATCTATACAAAATATGTGCTTTGCCATAGTTGATTTTTGAAAGACATTTTAAAAATGAAAGCAATATTGTATATGTGATAGTCATTTACTGGGTGGGTTTGGTTTCCAATCTACCAAATAAGAAATGAGACTGAGTTTGTTACTTTTCAATGGCAATGGCAACTCAGACATGACATGAACACAAATATTAAAGTTTTATTTTATTGATTTCAATGTGAAATCATAAAAGACGTAGATTCTTTCAATATTTAAGATACACTTTGATTTTATACTAACTGCCCTTGAAATTCTATTCCGCATTTAAGGTGATTAATTTAATAAGACTATTTAATATGTAGAGTAATAACAAGATCAGGGAGCTTAAAAGAGTCAAGTGCTGGGAAGGTCTATCAATTACTACAGCACTAATTATAATTTCTGTAAACAAAAAGTTGGCAAATATGGTTGTGAGTAGTACAATCCCAGAAAGAGATTTTGGTTAAGTGCTGCATGAAAATCTAATAGGAAAATTAAATAAATAAATAAATAAATAAATAAATAAATAAATAAATAAATAAAACAGGCCCAGGCTTGACACCAATTTGTAAAATGTGCTAAATAGGATACCAGGGAAAGAAGTTCTGCTAATAAAATAAAGGTCACAGATTTGCTCCCAGAAAATAAAGTCATTTCACTGTTAACGAAGGCCCAGGACCACAGCTGGTGCCACTAAACCCACCCCACCTTCAAGCATTTTTCTGAGATCTTATTCATAAGGAAAACAAGGCTGACCAATGGGACTCTTCCTATGCAAATCCAAGTCATGCCCAATGTGTAAACAAATCCTGACCTGACCAGTTCAGAACAATGTTCTATGTCAGAAGACTTGATTTAAAAAAAAAAATCAAAGTACTAGAGTAAAAGGAAGGGTGAAATGTTAACTTCTAAAAAAAAAAAAAAAAAAGTAAAACTGGCTTGGGACAGGCTTGCCCTGAGTCTCCATATATTTCCAGATTCAGTCATAGGATAAAAACAAAACAAACAAAAAAAACAACACCTTATCTTTACCTGGTTCGTTCTATTCTATGCCTTTAGTATCCATTTGTTGGTTTTACTAGTAGTTCATTTGTCTGTTAAGCTAAAGATGATCCCATATTATTTCAGAATTTGGAAGTAGTGATAAATGGTGGTAGCGCTTGGTGTTTATAATCATTCTCCAGGTATTTTTCCCTTTCCTTTTTCCTATTTGGCTTTTGGACTAAACGAAGAATATCTATTTTAAAAGAATCGTTTTTCTTATCACTTCAACTTTTGCTTTCTCTGTGTATCCTTATGCAATCAAATACTATTTTGTTTTTTCTGCAGCAACACAGAGGTGATGAAATTGGCATGCCACGATGTAAAGATAATTTAGGGTAACATAGAAAGCAGTCCATCCGGCCTTACCTGTAGGGAAAAGCTCAGGTTTGCAGAAAACCCTGGCTTCTTAATTCTGCTCACCTAATGCTGCTGTGTGCAAGAAGTGAGTCTCTTAATAATCAACGGTACTAAAAAGATCACACTCTTTTCTTTCTTTTGATTGTGAAAAAAAAAGAATACAAAACCAGGAAAAAGATACCTTAAGTTCTATTTTTCTTTCAGATAAGACATTCTTCCTTCACAAATGGGAATTAGGCACATCAATCATGTTATGAATGATGGTGGTGTGCTGACATGAGGGGAAACTGCAGACTGTTAAATTGTATGCTTTTAAATTACTTCAAAAGAGCATCTCCCTAAAAATGTTTCCTTTCGCCCCCAGCCTATAAGAATGCAAGGGCAGTTCTTTAATTTATCATGTCAGCGTTCTTTGGACATAATCTTAATTACATATATAGAAAAGAGAAATGAATAGGAAAACAAATGTGCTTGTTTCAATACAAAGAAAGTAAAAATGCAATCATGAACAGTGGGTAAATTAAAAATTTGAGTACAATATCCCACATCACTCTTTTTTTGTATAATCAGTGTTTAGGTTTAGCTATATAAAGAAGCTCATCTAAATGTATAAGCAGTAGTCAACTTATGTGCTATATTTTACATTTAAAAAATGGCCAAAAGAAGTTTGTCCCCTCTTGGGCTTTCCTTCTCTTCTTTGGTTTCCTTCCTTCTCAGCTAGTTGCCTTCATTTGCTTTGGCTCTCCTTTTCCTCCAACAAAAAATGCCACAACAGCAGGTGGCTTCCCTCCCTGATCCATGCCATCCACGGTAGAGGACATATAGCAAAACTGATGGAGGCACTAGCCAGCAGGAGAAAGGATGCAGAATAAGATTCCATTTCCTTCTTCCATGCATTGGGCTGGCCAGCTTCTATCTTTGCCTTTCTAGCACCTCACATTACGTTTCAAGACATTAGCCAGCCTTTATTTTGGAGATTAAATGCCAGTGTGGCAGAGTCTGGTTCCCATGGTAGCACAGGATAGAGCTTTGTTTTATTTTCTTTTTCTTTTGGTGTTAGCAGTGAAAGCCTTTAGAAAACCTCAATGGTCTAGGAAGGCTTCGAGGATGGGGATGTGGAGGAATCATTGAGGCTGTGGATTTGTACAGCAGTCAGGGGGAGGAAGAGAACTGCTGGCCAGAACCAGGAGAAGGTTCAACAGAAAAAGAAGCATAAAGGTCCACCACAGAGACCTCAGGAAAGAAGGAGCTACTTTTCCCTCTCTCTTTACTGCTCAGGAGTGAAAGGAGTGGTATCTCTAAATCAGCTTGCGGCAGAAGAGATATTCCTGACACCACAGTGGGAACTAAAAAACACTTCCCTAGGTACATCAGGGGCAATGCCTGACTATACTTTTGGTTCAATACTGTGAAGCAAGTATATTATAGAATTAACTAGAGGCCAGATGCACGAAGGTCGTGCAAGAGGCGGCCTTCCTTCCCCCGGCTGCCGGCACTGGCTTCCCTCTGGCACCCGGGACCTAGGCTTCCCTCCAGCTTTGTCTGGAAGGTCGTCTTGAAGGACCTCTGGTCTAATTAGCATAATATGCTTTTATTATTATAGATGAGTCCTTTGTGAAGTGGTTTAAAAAGTTTACCTTGCCTCACAGTGTTGTTTCCATGGGAAACTATAATAAGGATTTCAATTTATGAATTCAAAGAGCTTTTGGAATAAACAGCACTTTGATAAGTTGGAGACTGCCTGTTTTTCTGCTTCACACAGGAGCCAGTTTTGTTACAAAGAAGTTTATGGTATTCGATTCAAAATGCTCCATCTTGTTAAGAGAGAAAAGGAGGGAGGGAAGAAGGGCAGGCGGGCTAATTACATGGCCGATTCTCACAGTGTTTTAGCTGTTCAGTGGACCTGATGGCATTTTATAGTTACTGACCAACATATTAAATATATTAGTATATGAAGTGGATCACATAAACTATATTGTATACAATTTCAAACTTTCTTTTCATGAGGGGCTATTAGGATGTTTGCTTGGCTTTTATAGCCTCCATTGTTCCTTACATCCAATCTGAGAGGTAATATTTACATATTCATTCCAATGGCTGGACTTAGGACCCCTCCACTTAACATTGACATAAAAATTGTGGCAATCACAGCCTACACTGTGTGTGCTCATGTCACATATTTTTTAAGTTTTTTTTCCCCAATTGAATTTTAGAGAGAGAGGAAGTGAAAAACA